TCACCATTACTACCAACCAGCATCACCACCACCATCACCACTACCATCATCACCATCACTGCCAGCAGCTCTATGTTACCATCACTATCACCTTCAACATTACCAATACTATCACCAGTACCATTGTTACCAAACATACTTTCACCACCACCATCACTGTTTATGCAACCATTATGGTGGCATTACCCATTGGAAAACTGTAACTCTACAACAGTCTTTAGAAAAGTTACCCTTTCATGTGCCTCACGGGACCCATTTGTTCATGATGTTAGCTGGTTTTACTGTCCCTCAAGCTCAGGGCAGGGGTCTGGGAAGCCTGGTGGGTGTGGCTTTCTGGCCCCAGCTTACCCTGCTGTTCGACTCAAGACTCAGCTGTGGCAGAAAATCTACTCCTTTGGGAGGGGCCATCCCTAGCAAGGCTGCACCCCCTCCTCCATGTCCAAGGCTGGGCCTCACCGGATGAGAACAAAGCAGGATTTTAATAATCCTCTCAACTGGCCATCTGCTCACACTTGCCTGTGAGGGCCAGCCCACCCACACTTCTCTTTCCCCAAGGTGACCCAAATCCTGGGGAAGGCTCCAGTGTGCTCATCCCAGGCTCCTGTGCCCAGCAAGGTCTAAGGCAGAGGGCTAGACACAAGGCTGGGAGAGGGCTGGGGAAGCCATGAGGCCCCTTTGTCTCAGGCATCAAAGAGGAGCTGAAAAAAAACCCCAAAATAACCAAACAAAACTAGTGCCAATAGCCTGAGCAGACACCGCCATGGTGGGGGTGGATTTGAGTGGTGAGGCGCCCAGGCTAGTCCCTCCCAGAACCTGTTCCCTAGACACAGTCTGCACTTCCCAGGGGGATGGGGCACCCTTTTTAAGCAGGGGTGTCTTGAATATTCTCCACAGACCCTGGTGTCTCAGGGGGTTCATCAGGACACTGGGCTAAGGAGTGAGTTTGGTAAACATTGGGTTAAATAAATGAATATTCTCTGCACAGAAGCATTTCTCACAGCCTTTGAAATGCTAATGGCTTTATGAATGGGGCAGGGGAGGGGTTAGAGAGTTAGGAAGTGTTTCCTCAGTTCCTCTGAATACAGAAATCTCATCACACCCTCACTCCAATTTCTCTAACAAGGGCTCTAGACAAAGTACGAGCATCTGACCCAGCTCTGGGAGAGGCAGCTCTATGTCCTGCATTTCTTCCTGAGGTGATGGCTGGTTTCCCTGGCCCCTATAGTCACCCAGGCCCCTACAGCTGGGGTAGGGAAATGGGGTGGGAGCAGGTGGCAGGCAAGAAAGCAGTGAAAGTGGCTAGAACACTGGTGATGCCATGCAGGGAAGAATGCCCATCAGTGACTCCAAGGCCTGGAGCCCAGCTGGCCCCTTTCCCTCCCAGCCCCACTGCTGGGCTCCTGGCCTGCATATCCACCCAGATGGGAGGCTCACTGGTGTTCCTAGGCCAGACCGTTCAGCCTCCCTGGCTACGAACTCTCCAGTGTTCTTTTCTGGTTCTGCTATGAGAGGTGGGAGGTGGTACTGGACTGACACTATTGTGTTGGATTCAAAGCCCAGTTTTAGCATCTACTTGTTGAATGGACTTGAGCAAGTTACACTTAATTGCCCCCCAGCTCAGTTTCCCCAAGGGCACATTATTTAAGGACTATGATCAAAGACGTCACTAATAACTATTATTACTATAATTAGCATGGTCATCATTCTTCTGCCATGTCTCCTTGCCTCTGCCACATACCCCCCTGCCCAAGTCGGGCCATGCAGGCATATGGGGGAAAGAGCACCCACTCTGGGATCAAACAGACTTCGGCTGTTACCCACTTCGCATCTTCCTAGTGGTGGGATGCTGAGCGAGCCACTGCAGCTGGTTTAGCCTCAGTTACCTCATGTGAAGAAGAGATAGATACCTCTGGAGGGCACTTATCCTGGTCCCTTTCTCCTTCTGATGCTCGGCCACAGCCCATCTCCTTCCTATGCTCCCCTGTACTAAGCTCCGTCCACCAGGGACAACTCGGGTAGCCAGGGTCTTCCTCCAGGCTGGCCCACTGTGATCTCTCAGGAGAGTGAAGGGGTGGGATAGAGTGCGGAGCAGTTCCCCTCAAAGCTCAGTTTGAGGGAGCAGGACTGCCTCTGTGAAGTGGGCTCCCTCAGGAGGGCTCTGAACCACTGGGGTGGAATGCACAGTTGCTAGACAATCTTGAGACTGTGGGATCTGGGGTGAGCCACCTCCGCTTTCTGGGTTCAAAGCTCTCCTTTGGGGTTGGGATAGGAGGCCCTGCCCCTCTGCTGCTCTGAGACTGGGGAGGGCAGTGAAGTCATAAGAGCCTTGTTTAAGGGAGCTCTGGTGGCCTAGTGGCAAGAAGCTGCACTGCAATCTCAGAGGAAGGTGGTTCAAATCCACCAGACGCTCTGCTGGAGAAGGGGGGGCAATCTCCTCCTGTACCAGTCAGATCTGATTTTATGGTACACACATAGACACACAGACACACACACACACACATACACACACAGAGCCTTGTTTAACTGTGCATACTCTCCTCTGGAGGAGATCCTCAGGTCAAGGGGTCCTTGTTCCACAGAGAGGGTGAACCACTACAAATCACCACCACTTTTCTCATACACATGCATATGTATGTACACGTGCACACACGTACATAGGTATGCCTGCATGCACATGCATGTGCACAGCCCTCCGTAGGTCCTGCAGCCCAGGCAGTAGGAGGCAGCAGGCTTCCCTCCACATGGGAAAGATCTGATGTCAGCACTCTGCCCGTGCTGGTCACCGTGCCTGGCACCCAGGGAGCCTTCCATAAGCACCTGTAAAGCAGTGCTCCTGAACTCACACAAAGTGCTTGCATTGCACCAGGGCACCTTCCACACACTGACAGTTTAAAGAAGGAGGGAGGAGATGCCGGCTGCCTTCTGCACTGACCACTCTGTTACCTTGGGCAGCTTCTATAACTGGGGTCCCAGTTCCCCAGGGTGTCAAGTCAGGGAGCAAAAGTTTGGACCAGATGCCCAGTTTATTTCTCCGTGGCCTCTGCCCCTCCCTACAGATCTGGCTTTGTGATGTAATGAACTAGATTTTGGATCCAGCCTGCTGACTTCCAGAGGCAGGTCTTGCCCACCTCTGTTACAGATGTGCCAGGTGAGGTCAGGCTGGGAAGAGACCCACGTTGCAAGTATAGGGATGCAGGAGAACTCCTGCTCCTGGGACAAGGGCCCTTTCACTCCCTCAATATGACTGCCTCAGCTCACAGGAAGTGTTTCTAGAGAGGTGTGAGGAGAATAAGCACCAGGGAGTTGATTGTGGGCATGTGTGGGCCCCAGAGGCAGTGGCTGAGGACTGCGGAAGGTCCCATCTCTGCACCTCAGCTCCCCACCCCCTCCCCCATGGCTGCCTGATGAGGCAAGAGTGGGGTGGGTGCAAGGCAGTCCGGAAGCCACGAGGGGCTGCAACAAGTCCCACTTCCTGCCTCACCCCAGAAAAGCAGAAGGTTCCAAATGCAGAATTCACAGCCTCCTCTCACGATGGAGTAGGAGTGGGGAGGGCTCAGCTAACTCTCTCTCGGGTGGAGGGAGTGTGTAAATGGATTTTACCTCCGTTATCCCCTACCTTGAACTCTCAGAAACTTGATTAGAGGAGTGAGAGAGAAACCTGTCAGGGAGACAGAGCTGGGAAATGCAAATATGTGATCCAGGAAATAAGAACCACAGGCTATGCAGAAATCATGCTGCATTCTGAGGCTCAGAGAGCCCAAGTAACATCCTTGAAATCACACAGCTAGTTGGCAACGGAGCCAGGAGTCAGGCCCAGGTGGCCTTATTCCAGAGCCCATCTAGAAGGTGAAAGTTTTTGAAACTGTAAGAGTCAAGGGCATCACAGGTCATCAGCAGTAATAGAACTGAGTCAAGAAAGAGTAAGGTTGTTTTCCAAGGTCAGAGGGACCCTGTGGTAGAACAGACACTGGAATTCCACTGTCACCAGAAGATGCAAAAGACTTCTCTCCAAGACTAAAGTAAAAGGTCACCTCCTTGGAGTCCCAGCTCACCCCACCTCTAGGCCCCCAGCCCTGGTACCTTGGCCCCGAGGCGCAGCTGGTCAATGGTGTTCTCAGCCTCCGCGTACTTGGTGAGGAGCTTGTGGTAGTCCTCCTGCAGGACATGGAGAGCAACATGGCCACACACTCCAACACACAACACCCCTCCTCACCGGGAGAGACCCCTACAGGCCACCCCTCCCTGGCCCAAAGACTGCCGGGTTCTTCAAGGTGAAAGAGCTTGATGGTGGGAGCAGAGCAGACTCCTTCAGGCTTCCATGTCCAGGTTTGGGAGTGTCAGAGGCGTCAGCAGAACTGACCCACCACCCCCTCCTCCATGGTCGTGGTCACACACTGAGCCCAGGCCTCTGGGCTGTGTTACCTGGGTGCCTGGCCCCATCACTAGGGCTGGAATGACTTCTTTATTTGTCTGATTTCCTGCCCATCTGCCAGTTCCTCTGGGGAATGCTCACATCTGTTTCTCCCACTGTTCTGTTCCCAGGGTCCCCAGTATGTGCTTAATAAGTATCATTAATGAATGATTGACTGGCTCATTCAGCCAATCACTTAATGAATGAGTGAGCAGAAGGAAAACAGGAGACTCAAATATCATCGTTTCACCAACTCAGAGAGACTACTTATTTTAAATAAACCAGAGCTTCGTGAAGACAATTCATTATGGAGGATACAGAGGCAAATGGCTCTGGTCACCAGGGAAGGGAACTGACTCACCATTGGGAAAACAAATTTAAATAAAAAAGACAGAATCAAGTATTTATTCTATCTTTCCCATATAAGCAATATCTTCATAACCGTATAATTGATCTAGGAGAATTTCGCTACATAGAAGAATCCCAAAGGGATAGTGGAGTCCTATCTTTAAATACTACCACTGTGTCACCACAAATGAATGACTGAGTCTACAATAACCATCAACAGTGAGAAGTCAGCAGCTGGCCACTGCTTCCTGAGGGAAGCACACAGACCACTCGTAAAAGTGCCCTGGTCAAAAAATCTCCACCAGCACCGTGCTCAGGAGCGAGAAGAAAACCTCTCCTAAAAACAAGGTGAAAAGACCGCCAGCTCTGCTTCTTCCACATACAGGAAAAACACGCCCAGCAGGGCACAGGGACAGAGACCCCCAGGTGCATCAGCAAAGACTGGAAGGTAGAGACTCCACAGCACAGACATGGTATCCTCAATAGATTATCCTTTGCTACTGAGTCAATTACAACTCATAGCAACCCCGGAGGATGGAGCAGAACTACCCTGGGCGTGTTGCTAAGGCTGTAAGTCTTTGCAGAAGCAGACCGCCATGTCTTTCTCATGGAGAGATTGGATTAAGAGCTCGATCTCTCCACAGCCTTGACATAGCTAGTGAGTTCAAACTAGCAACCTTTCAGTCAACATTTGAGTGTCAACCACTGTCCCTCAAAGGCTCCCTAACTAAGCGACTACAGGAAGAAACGAGATGGAGGAGAAACGTGTAGATGAAGAGCATTCTGGAGGAAAAGCAGAGCCTGGAGAAGTACAGAGGTCTGGTTCTTGTTTGGCTCTTGAAAGACACATTTAGGAGACACATAGGAAGTGCTGAGCACTGATTGGATGCTTGGTAAAATTAAGGACCTGGTGCTAATTTTTAGGAGCAATTGTGGTGTTGGAGAAAAATATCCCATGGATTGTCAAAAGAATGGAAAAAAAATTGCCTTGGAGGAAATGCAAACCAGGGTTGTCTTTAGAAGCAAGGATGGTGAAATGTCATCTCACAGTCTTTGGGCATGTTGGCAGGAGGGGCTAGTCCTTGGAAAAAGACATCACGCTGGGATCAATGGTCATTCAAAGAGAAGAAGCCCCTCAACATGATTAACTGGCACAGTGACTATAACAATGGGCTCAGACATTGTGAGGAAGGTGCAAGAGAAGGCAAGATCCAGATCTGTTGTTTACGTGGTCGCTTGAATTGAAATTGACCTGACAGCACCCAATAAAAACAGCATCATTTAAAACAGAGTCCTAATCTAAAATCACCCACAGGTGAATGCTTTCTGGGGCAAAATTATTTGATGTCTATAAGCTACTTCAAAATATTCCAGTGGAGTGAAAGGAAAATTGAGGCCGAAGATGAGAAAGATTGGGACAAGCAGCTAACTGTTGAAACGTGGTGCTGGATGCAGGGGGCTTCACTGTAACTATTTTCTTTCTTCTATCTGAACTTTCATAAGTAGAATTTATGAGCAGACAAAACAAAGGAAAATCCTTGTAACATTAGTGCAATCACCACTTTCAACCAAAGAGCTTGGATCTGTCTTCATGACTCTGGGTATAACCCGCCCTCCACCAGGCGGCCAGACCCAAGGCCTCTCCAGCTGAGTTAGTCTCCAATGCAAGATGATTGGAGGCACTTTGTGACCTTTTGGCTCCTTAAAAATGAGCCCAGCTTACCTGGAGCTGGTGGACTAGCTTGGTGGCTTGTTCTGGTGTCTGGAACTCCTGGGGGACTGTGGTGATGAGGTGGGTGGGAGGAGGGTCCTTGGCTGCGAGGGCTTCTTCGCTGCTCAGCAACACCTCCCGCACTATCTCTGCTGGTGACTTGAAGATCAAGGGCCTTGCAGGGTCCTGAGGCTGCCAGCTGTGACTCTTGGCTTTGGGGGGTCGGTAGCTCTCATCTTTCGGGAACCTCACTCGAGGTCCCACCTTGGAGAAATCTGGGAGTGGGTAGTTCAGCCGTCCTCGGCCATACTTGCAGGCATCAGAGGAAGAGCGGCCAGCCAGAGTGGGTCTCTGCCTGGGCAGCCTGTCCTTCTGGGCAGGCCGAGCCTGAGGATTCAAGGGGGTGAGGGTACCAGTGAACCGGGAAGGGAGTGGCTTAGGGGGTATCTTTGTCCGCTTCCAAGGGTCTTCTCGGGGCTGAGGGTGGGAGAAGCTGGCAGTCTCTCTCCATCCACTTTCGGGACATGGGAGGCTCTGAGGTGGGGGTGATGAGGAGCCATGGAATTCTGTGGGGGTTGCCTGAGCAACACTTCCTCTAGTTCTGTCATCTGGATTTAGGGTGTGACGGCTGGGGTTCTGTGGTAAGGAATTTTCCAGGGAACTGGGCTGGGGGACATCGGTCTCTCCTTCCCAGGTAGAATCAAGGCTGTCACTGGGGTGGCCGAGGCTCACTGTCCCACTGCTCCAGGACCTTGCAGGGCAGAGATCAACCGATGGGCTGAACTCAGAATTCTCTGAGAGCTTGTCTCCACTGACTACATTGTCAGAGGCCACCGCGCCCCTGACCTTCCCCTTTCCTAGAGCTGCAGAGCTGGGGCTTCTGTCATCTTCTGAGCTGAGACTCGCCTGAAACCCCAACCTTGGGGCGCTCTCTCCAGTGTCCTCCGCCTCCTGAGGGCTCTCATCCTGCTCTTCTTCAGTCATGTCTGATGGAGACTCCTGCTGGGGAAACCAGTAGAGAGGCAAGGTGGCAGTGGCACTTTCTGGGCTGTCCACATCTTCTGTTTCGATCTCTGGAAAGACAGGTCATATATCAAATCTGGACTTGTTACATGACCGTTCTTAATTTCTTTCACATCTCTGGACATTTACTCATCCTGTGGTAAGGCAAAAATCCCAGTGCACCCCGACCCCGACCCTCCAGTGTTCCCCATCTCAGCAATGGCAAGATAATCTCATCCAGTTGTACAAGCCAGAAACCCAAGAGCTATCCAACTTGTCACTTGATCCTTTCAGGTTTACCTTGTACCTACCTCTCAGAATCACCTACTGTTCTAAAGTCTATCCCTCATCCACCACCACTATCACCATCATCCACCACTACCCCCAGCACCACTGCTCAAACCAACATTTAACACTGTAGTTGTCACCTAGCCACCTGTCTAGCTCTTCTCCTTCCCCTCCTGCTCCTACACTTTACAACATGTTGATATCTTCCAACTGTTCCAGGGTTAAGAGCTGGCCCTTTGATATGGACCTCAGGTACCTGCCATTCTGATCCTAATTAGTGCTCTGGTTAATTTCTCTATACATCTCATTCCAGCCACATCGTGCACACAGCATGTTCTCTCACCACAGACCTTACACATTCAGATCCTCTGCTGGAAGACTCATGCCCTCCCTTTGCCTACTTACCACTTACTTGCACTTTATGCATTAGCTTGATCTTTACCTCGCGAAGGAAGTCCTCTCCGCTCTTCCTAAGTCAAACCCTCTTTATTATAAGCTGCCTTACAACTGAATGTCTCTGACTTTATGACACTATCACAGCTGCAGAATTCCATTTATTTATGTGGCTTTTTCCCATTAGTATTTGTCATCATCATTAGGATGAGGGCAAGGACACTATTTCAGTTCACCCTTGTATTTGCATAGGAAGTGCTCTACAATATTTGCACCTGACTGAATGAAAAATAGAAAATAAGGAAGTGAGGGAGATAAAATCTGCAAAACTCCCCCAAAATAGATACATAGCAGTCATCCACCAGACTACTCACTCAGCCAATTAAAACCATCTGTTTTCATCCACCCATCCATCTACTTATTTTACCTATTCACTCCTATGTCACCTATCCACCCATCTCTCCATCCATCCATCCATCCATTTACCTATCTGTCCACCCACTCGTCCATCCATCCATCCATCCTTCAGCTATCCACCTACCTCTTCATTCACTAATCCACTCATCCATACATAGCCTGTCCACTCCTCCATCATTCATACAGTCAATGTATCTTAAGCACCTTTTCTGTTCTAAGACACCAAGTCAGCCTCTAGGACATACTCAAGGTTTCATAAGACACAGATTCTCCACTCTGCCCAGATTTGCCTTCATAATAAACCTTGCATCACTCTCTGCTCCTCCATGCTGTTCCCCTCACAGCTGAAGCCCCTACATCCCTCTACTCTAAAACCTCCTACCACCACCCCGCCCCTGCTGCCTTCAGCAGTCCCTCATTTATAGCAGCACAACTGAAGCCTCGAGAAGTTCAGCAACATCCCGAAGATCACACGGCAGCTAAGAGTAGCCGTGGACCTAGAATTTATATCTTAGAGGCAAATGTGTCTTTGCTACCGGAGGTGGTAAAGTGGAGTGATGAGCAGGGACTTTATAGCTACGGATGTCTGATCCCTCACTGGGTGGTCATGGGCAAATTATACCACTCAAAGCCTCAGTGTCCTTTATCAGGCTTAATACTAGTTTCTGCTACCTGGCGGATGGTGGAGGAGGTAGGAGATAAGGCCTGAGTCCTGCTAGCCTGTGCCTGGCACACAGGAAGGCATAGGATGTGGTAGAGCTGATACATCACAGCAGAGGGGTTACCACCTGAACCCCCAGGAGACACGCCTCTGCTCTTTCAACTTTGCCAGTTCTCAGAGCTGGAGACGTCCTCCCTGAGGGAGAGCTTGGAAATAGTTCCTGAATGGGCAGCTGTGGCAGCTCAAACTGACATGGTGACAGCTTCTGTTCCTTCCACACAGGGCCTTCCTGTTTGTGAGAATCACTTCAGAGAGGGGCTTCATTCATTATCTCAGGACAACAGCGACCACACACAAAGTTCCTTCATTCTCAGTGCTCTACACTTTTAATCACCTTAGGTGATTAAGCCAGCACAGCCTTCCAGGTCAGAACTGTTATTCCCATTTCACAGGTGGGAAGAGTGAGATTCAGAGAGGCATAGCGTTGCCAAGTGAAACTAGGGTTTTCATCCATGCTGCTTACAACACAAAGGGAACACAGTTATTGCATGAAGCAAGGAATGCCAATTTCCCCATTGGTCAATGGGGTTTTAAAAATTCTTAGAAATGGGCACAGCCTATCTAACTCAAATTGGCAAGGAAATTATTGCATTTTGATATTGCAAAATACATTACAGAATGTAAAATTGCAATATAAAAAACTAGACAGTACCTCAATGTCCAGTTGTAGGACACTGGCTTAATGAATCATAGCACAGCTACACAATGGAATAGAATTCTACACAACTGCCAGGAATAACTTGCTAGAGAATATCAGACAGCGTGTCAAATGATCATGTCCATTAAGATAACTAACACAAAAAGGCAGGTTCCAATAGAATGTGTGGAATACTCTTCCCATTTTATGTTACATTTGTCTATGCACACACAAGGCAATAGAATGGTTTAGAGGAGTAGGTGAGATGATAAAGAATTTTTAATTTCACCCAGTTTTTTGCTGATTTGTCTACAGTGAACTGTATTATCATAAACTTTTAATATTTCAATTTTTATTTATATTAAATCAGAATACTAATTTTAGAAACTTTTTCATTTAAAATTTAAATTATAGATTTTAATTTAAAAACATTTAAAGCACCTCCCTCCACAAGTCAGTGAGGTATGGGTGGAGGGGTACGAGGCGGTGTGGCAAGGCTGAGGGCCCTCACTGGGGGCGAGAAGCCAGTTTTACCCTCTTCTGCAGACGCTCCGCATTCAGAGTCCTGCTGTCCACCAGCCTGTGGGTCCCACTCCAGAGAAGGCAGACGCTGCTGGGCCAGGCGGAAGTCCTCCAGCAGCTCAGGGCTGGTAGCACTGGGAAAGGGCCCTTCTTCTGCCCATGCGTGGGGACCAATCCCATCAGTATCCTTCTTCTCAGCCCAGGCCCAGCGCCGCCGCCGCCGCTGGGGCCCCTTCTCCAGGCCCGGCTCAGCCCAGTGGACCTCAGTCCCCGAGCTGGCCATTGGGCCTGGCCTGTGCTTCACCTGGGCCACTTCATCCTCAGGAGATAGAGCTGATGCTGCAGGCACAAGCGTCACACCTGGCTTCTCTCAGTGTCCGCCATCCTGTATGGGGCCTGTTGGGGACACAATCGAGGGATAGCATTAATCTTCAAGTCCTCTGTTTTATTCAGAACCAAAAGTTACCACAGGGACTCTGGGATTAGCCAGCTCTAGGTTCAACCTTGGGCAAGCCACATGGCTTTCACTATCTTTATGAGTAAAACTGGGGTAAGGGGTCTTCTCTCCTTCAAAGGTTTTATAAAATTCCCTGAGGTATAGGGTAAAGAGCCTTGTGGCCGACACAGGTCAGCGTTCAGTCCATGTCACGGTGTTACTATGTGGCAGGCATGGGTCTGAGACACGGGCCTTGCTCTCATTAGAATTTACAGCTGGAGGAAGGTGGGAAAATAACCAGGCAACTGCAGATCAACATGAGAGGTGATGGGCCAACACTGGACTGGGGCCCAAGACGACTAGGAAATCAGGGAAGGCCCCACTTTAGAAATCACTTCCTTGAGAGCCTTCCTTGACCTCCAGCAGCAACAGTTCAGACAGGGAGTTGGGGGGTGGGGGCGGGTAGGAAAAGAGCAGCATTCCAAGGCACAGGGAAGAGTGTGGACACAGTGTCAAAGTAGGAAGTGCTTTCCTGGATATGGAAGTGGCTTCCCAATGGCTATGATACTTAGGACAAAGGCTGGGTGATACAGACAACAGAGTGTGGGGAAGGAGAGGTGGTAGGCAGACCCAGAGGCCACTTGGGTCTTGTTTAGGAGTTGGAAGTACATGCCAGGGTTTGAGAGGTGATGCTGGTGCTTCAGGTATCAGAGGTACAGCTTAGAAGCGTCACTTTGACTACTGGGAGAAAATGAATAAAAACAGGGAAGAAGGGTCACAGAGGTCCTCACAGCAGAGGAAGGACTCCAGCCTGCCTTCTATGTTCTTTCTTTCCTTTATCTTCCTCTTTCCCGCATCCTGCTACTTCAGACATTCCCCAGTTGCCTCTGTGCCAAGCACAGAGCCCAGGTCTGGAGCACACAAACCCCAGGAGACTCAGTCAGTCTGGGAAGTCTCAGAGACCCTCAGCGGGTTAGCTCAGCAAGTGCTTCCAGGTGAGCACATGCAAAGGCCTGGTTCTCCAGTTCAAAGTCACACAGTGGACAGGGCAGTGTGCAGCGGAAGGCCAATCTCTAGTTTCTCCAACTTCAGGCATCCTTGGGCACATCTGTGTTTCAGCCTCATGAGAAGTCAGATCCCAATCAGGAGCCTTGATTTATTAAGATACTCAGCAGTCAACTATTTCTTGACAGAAAGTTCCCCAGGGAATGGTTAGCTGGCTTGTTAAGGGTTGAAGCAAGAATGCAGAACAGCATCTCTACCATCAGTGAACAACGCCTGCTCCTTGAACAGGGGCTCTGTGGCTTCCTTCCTCTCCTCTCCCCCATCTCCAGCTCAGTCCCCTCCAAATGTGAGTACTAGAATTTCCTCCAGGTCACCCTGTGCTGCTTCCCGTGCACAGTCCGCACCCCATGTAATGTGCACGCTTGTTCTCCGTTTGCCCTCACACCAAACAGGCAAGGTCTTAGGGAAATGATAACAGGGGCTAGCCGTTCGGCCAAGATTAGTCAGATTTGGAACTGTCAATCTGGACTCACTTCAAATTGCTTCATCACCCAACTGTCCATCAATAAAAACATGTTTGTTCATATGCTCACATGCATAACTTAGCCAGTATGCTGCAGGTATTATAAATATACAAGGGAAAATAAAAATTGTGAGGATGTGATGGCAAAGGATATTTTAAATATAAATTCCAATCCTGTGTCCCTCAGAGGGCTGTACCCTTCAGTGAGGTCCTGCTTTGGCTCTTAACTGGAAAGCCCGCAAGCTTCTTCTGATGCAGCTGCTGTACTTGGGTGCCACTAAGTTGATTCTGACTCATGGTGGCTGAGTTTTAAATGCCCCACAGGATTTCCTACAATGTAATCTTTACGAGATCAGGTTGCCAGGTCTTTCTACTGTGGAGCCACTGGGTGTGTTGCAATCCCAAGCTTTTAGTAAGCAGCTGAGCACTTAGCCTCTGTGCCACCAAGCGTCCTTTAAGAATCCTCTAAGAAAAGAAAATGAACAGTGTCCAGATTGGAAGAGAAGAAACAAAATTACTACTATTCGTGGATTATCCAATACTACATAGATAAAAATCTCAGTAGCCACAAGAAAACTTCTGGAGCTAACAGAGGAATTCAGCAAAGTTTCAGGGTAAAGGTCAGCAAATGGAAATTAGCTGGATTCCCCTATAGCTGTAATGAGAAAACAGAAAGAAAACTTATAGAAACAATTCTATTTATAATAGCATCTAGGAGAATGAATCACTTAGGAATAAACCTAACCAGGGAGATGAAGAATTTAGACTACGAAAACTATAAAACACTGCTGAAAAAGACCAAAGTAAACTTAAATAAATGGAAAGATATCCCATGTTCATGGATTCAAAGACAAAATATTGTTGAGTTGTCAATAATATTACCCAAAGTAATCTAGTTTTAACCTAATCCTAATTAAGATTCCAACAGCAGTTTTCTTTACAGAAATTAAAAAAACAAACAAGCATATAAAATCCTTTACATGAATTTTATATAAAAACTTTATATGGAAAGGCCTCTTACCCCAAATAGGTAAAACAATGGTGAAAAAGATGAACAAAGTAGGAGGATTCACATATCCTAATTTTAAAACATACTATAGAGCTACTGTAATAGAAACAGTCTGTACTATTCTGGTAATAGATGCATACATAGACCAATGTAATAGTATCGAGAATTCAGAAATAAGTCACCCACCTATATTCAATTTATATTCGTTTTTACAAAGGTGCTAAATCCATTTGATGAGGAAAGATGAATTTTTTCAACACCATTTATTAAAAAAATTCCTCTTTCCTCATATACAAAATCATTAAAAATGGTCAAGTACCTATATGGGTAAACTAAAACCATAAAACTCTTAAAAGAGCACACAGGGACAATTATGTCTTGGTTATCATTCAACAATGGATTAACTAATATAACAACTAATGCACAAATAACAAAATACAAATAAGTGCTTTTTATATAAATGTAAAGCTTTGTTCATTTAAAGGCAACAGTAGGAGGATTCACATCAAAACCATTGAAAAGACAAGCTTCCAGCTAGGATACTAGTTTCAGAAACAATACATCCAATAAAAATATATCTAATAACCAAAATATAATTTGCCAATTAATAAAAAGCAAATACCAAATCATAAACTGGGCAACAAACTTGAACAGACATTTCATTGTTGTTGTTGTTGTTATGCGCCATCGAGTCGTTTGCGACTCATAGCGACCCTATGTACAACAGCCCTAAACTCCGCTCTGTCCTGTGCCAATCGCACTGTCTCTGACACTCCCATCCC